TCAGTAAAATGGGGATAATCAAAATCTTAGTGTATTTGTTTCCTACTGTTGCCCAGAGAATGGAATGTATGTGTGTAAAAGGCTTGGTTAAGAGTGCCACACACCCTTGATCATGAACTGTTAGTATCAATCCTAAATATAGAAATAAATTTCTTAACCATGACTCTATTCATGATATTCTCTACCCCCATAACCTACTCATCCCTGGACAACTAAGTAAAGCGCTACAGCTTTGAAATCTTTGCTTGCATGGTCTTTTTTTTTGCCACTAGCCCTGAAAGCTGCTCCAATGCAGTGCCTGTCTCGCTGGTATCCATATCTCCAGGCCCTGGCACAGAGCCTGGCAAGGGGGAAGAAGCCATTAAATGCACGGAACCCCAAATGAGAAACTCAAAGGGTTCAAGCTGTACTTTAAAGAAAACTCTTCTCATCAGGACCAAGTTTGCAATTTTGCTGATGCAGCCACTCTATTCCCATGGGCTTCCTTGAGATAAGGCATCACCTTGATAAATTAGCTGTGGATATAGGCATCTTGCAGTTGGCATGGGAAAGCAATTTAATTTCCAATTAAGCCTGATTTCTGGGCCAAGAGGTTTGCCTACCTCGCACTAGGAGGATTATTCTGGCCAGGACTATTATTATCACAGATCATGATTCTACCATGAAGTGGACTCTCAAGGAAGCTGATCCTTCAACCCTTGGAATGGTTCAGTGAGGCAGAAATACGGCCTCTGTGGTTAGGACCATTTCTCCCCAGGAAGTAAGTTCATACAAGTAGAGTCAGGAAAGTTCAAAACAAAGATAGGCAGTCTGTTTTTGGGCAAAATTTTTAAGTCAGCGTACCCCTAGAAATGAAGCAAGAGGTGAGAGAGGGAGGGAGGCAAGGCAGTCATCAATCAGGTCCACAAGCAAGAGAGGTGGGAAGTTGCTAGGGAGAAAAAGAAGGCAAGAGGGAGTTCTCTGAGCCCAAATGAAAAGAATCTGAAATATCAGTGGAAGGAGACACACTTGCTTGAAGAGAGAACAGACATTTGTGAAGCATCTTTTATGCACTGTGCTGAGTACTCCACATTCATGATTGATGATTCAATGCACCCTGTAAAACAAACACTGTGAGGCTCATTTTCCAATTGAGGAAACTGAGATTCAGGAAGATTAAATAAACTGCCCAAAGTCATAAACAAGAGAGATTCAAACTCTTGTTTTCCTGAGCTTTTCTCCCTGCAGGCTCCTTCTCAAAGACAAATACAAAAATATCATTTAGGGCCATAAGGATAATGCCACACTCAGCTGTATCTTACCCACCAAAATTGTAAGCATGAGAAAAAGGCTTTCAAACAAGTCCTGAGAGAGTGAAAATAAATGGTGGCTGAGGCTGCTTGGGGCGAATGATCTGATGGAAGAGCTAACAATATCCACTTCTCTTTCGGGTGTTGTTTTTGCTCCCATCTGCCCCTCAAGGAGGGAGACTTGAGACCTGGGTACCATGGCCGAGCGTGGCTGAGAGGCTCCTATGAGGTCAGGAGCTTCTCCGACAGCTTAGACTGTTTCAAACCAGTGGGATTCTGGCTTGTGGCTGAGGGGATTTCAATTTGGAAGGGTTGGAAAGAAATAACAGAGGGGAATGAGGGATCGTGACTAGTGGAGCCACAGAAAATTTAGTTAGATGCCAAGAAGGTGTGACATGGCCTAAGTTTAATTAACGATAGTAAAAGAGGACTCTAAGGCAATATGTAAGCAAGCATGCTGTCAACTCCTTTACGAATTCTAGAGCACATGATTAAGCCCATGGTTTGGGAACACTTATGGAAAAAAGTAGAGATGAATGAGAGGAGGGTGCAGTCACTGAGAAGGAGCCCTGCCGGTGGACCAGACTCACTTTTGTTCTGCTTTTGCATAGTGACCAGTTCAAGGATCGCTGCAACCATAGTGTGCCTGGGTTCCAGTTGGGTGTGTGATGAGCTATGGATTGGAAAGCGTGGGTTCAGGCAGGTGGTAGTTGATCTCGTGGTCCTGTCTGTCTTGGCAGTGCCCACAGCAGAACCTTTGTGGGACTTTTTCAGATCCTTCTGCTTGGCCATCACCTCCACATCTATTGACACTTCAGAGGAGTGACCCCAGGGAGTCAATTGAGAGCCTGGGCTCTGTAATGGAAAGGTATATGGAGGCATCTAACAAGCTCTCAATAGTTGACCTTGACCTGCTTGGCATTTTCCACTTTTGTTATGGGGTGAAAACTAAAGAACAAGATTCCTTGTGATTAGAGAGTATTCTGGAGCAATACTGCCTAGATTTGAACCCCAGCTCTGCTATTTGCTAACTTCTGACTTGGGGCAAGTTAAATCTTTTCCTTGTGCCTCCATTGGCTCATTGGTGAAATGAAGATACTAGTAATAACCTCAAAGGATGTTGTTACTACTGTTCAATGAGCTGTGCCTGGAAAGATCCTGGCATTCAGGTAGGTGCTCAACAAATGCTAGCCCTTATTACCATTAGGAATGACAGATTCTTGCACAGGAAGTGGTCAGCTAAATATATGCCCAAATGGAAGTGACTGCATCTTGCTATAGTGAGTTATTCATCCAAAGAGGTGTTGCTGCAGGTTGTCATTAAAAAGAACTATTGTAGAAAGAGTGTGACTGCGTTCTCCCTGACAATACTTCTGACACCACATAAGGTTTTTTTCCCCTACTTTTTTTTAGGGGATTTTATGAAGATTTCACTACATAGGCATGATTGTTAAACCACTGGCCATTGGTGATTAAACTCCACCTCCAGCCCCTCCTCTCTCTGCAGAGGTTGCAGGGTAGAGCTGAAGGTTCTAATCCTCGAATCAAGTCTTGGTCCTTCTGGCAAGCAGCTCCCATCCTGAAGCTATTTACAGACCCACCAAGAGTTGTCCCATTAGAACAAAAGATACTCCTGTCACCCCTAAAGGATCTCTGTACCAAAGACTAAATAACTTTCTGTGGCACAACGGAGAGTTCAAGCACCAAACAGAAAGTGGAGAAGTGCTAGATGATCTCTAAAGTCTTACTGGCACTTAGAGAAGAAGCGTTTGTATTTGAACACGTGAAATCAAAGGGGAGTTGAGTAGCAGGGGCTCCAGAATTGACAGAGGAGGAGGACTCAGTGCAGCAGTCTTGTGGGGCGTGGGGACAGAAGACATGTCCCGAAGCCGCATGTGCCTCTCAAGCCCCTGCTTTTGTTTTATGTGTACTGGGGATAGGGGAGGTTGGTATGAGATGATGGAGATTATGGGAGAACACAGTCCATCTAAGCCACCTTTGACTCTGCAACTGGGGGAGATGCAGCAGGCCTGGGGAGGAATCACAAATGTGGTCCAATACTCAGTTTAGAGTTGTTGGCTTTGCTTCCATATACCTCCCGTTCTGATCTCCCAAATCCTTTGAGGAAGTTGGCTGGTGAAAATGTACTTATATAAGTAGGGAGGGAGAGTTGTGCAAAGCTAGGAAGAAGCTGAGTTCTGCATCAGAGGGGACATGAGAAAAATCCAGGAAAGCACTGTGGAGAGGAGGATGATCCATCAACTGACTCATCTTGGGGAACAGGATCTGGGAGCCAGAGGTGATGCAGAAAACTAAAGCCCTCCTCCTGGCCCCCGGTGGGAATCTGATGGAGCCTGGTGGAGAGCCTCACATTTCCACAGGGCACAGTGTGGGAGGAGTCTGGAGGCCTCATCTCTGGATGCACTAGATTGGCAGTGCTGAAGCTTTTCATCCTCAGGACCCCTTTACATGCTTGAAAAAGATCAAGGATCCTAAGAGCGTTGGTGTATATGGGTTATATCTATTAACAGTTACCATTTTCGAGATTAGAACTAAGAATGGTAAAAATATTTAATTTGAATTTACTTATTTAAAAATAATAATACATCCATTAGCTGTTAACAAAGTAACATAATTTTGTGAAAAACAATTATATGTGCCAAAAAATACATTGGGAGAAGTGGTATTGTTTTATATTTTTCGCAAATCTCTAATGTGTTAGTTTGCTTTAGAAAGGCAGCTGGAATCTCATTGCTATGTCGACATTCAGACTATTGTAACAATGCATGTTACGTGACCTCTGGAACATTCCACTGCACTCTCATAACAATGAAAATGAAAAAGGCAAATAGTGTCTTAGTGTTATTACGAACAGAGTTTTGACTTTGCAAGCCTCCACTTTGAGAACTGCTGCACTGGACTCTAGCGAATTTCTCCATGTGTCTCTGGTCTTCCTTTGGCCATTTTCTTTCCGCTCCATATCACAGGGCAATGGCTGGCAAGGTACAGGAAGGTGGCACTTTGTTCAAACAGTGTCTTCTTAAATATTTCATAGAATTCAAACTCCCCCAAACACAAGACTAATTCAGAGAATACCGGATAGTCTCACATAACAGCCTGTGCTGCCAATGAACAATAAAGTAAGTGCAGTTTGCAATGCCCTGACCCAAGGAGTTTAAGATCAATTTTGGATGAATTGTTGATTTAGAGCAGGAACTGGTATCACTTCAGCAAGTCACAAAAAATAAGATTATATTAGTATTTATATTGCACTATTTTAAATTTGCATAAAGCCGAGTCTTCACTGTGAAGAAAGAAGCACCTCACAATGATTGGTGAAGGGTAGGGAGAGAGAATGGCAAGAAGACACCAAGTTCCTTGCAGGCAAGCGAGTAGATACACCATAAAAGTGAAGTGAAATTCTGGTCCTCTGAGATCTTCAAAAATAGAAGAAACCCTCATTTCTTTCCTCCTCTGGTTGCAGCTTGGACTGATGAGCTAAAGCTCTGTCTGAGACCTGGCACTGTTAGGATGTCCCCCAGGGTCCTTCCCACCCCAGGGCTGGAGCTCAGGGGGCCCCTTGCCTCTGATTTCCACCGTTTTGTCTGCGTTCTGGAGGAGGGCACATGGGAGAACCATCCAGGTGCACCTCTCCGGTGTGAGTCACTGGCCCATGAGAGGACAGTAATAAATAATGGAAGCACTAGACACTCATTAGCAGAGTGGTTTATTGAGAACTGATGAAGGTTATCTGCTCCCAGGCAGATATTATTGCAAAAAACACGTAAGCGCAGTGTCTAACTCCATTATGCCCAAATTCCCATTATTTCATGCTTATCCTTTGCATATAGTTCTGTGAGCAGCAGACAGTTGTGGCATTTGCTAGAAGGCTGGTCTTTGTTAACAGGAGGAGAACATCTGTCTCAAGCAAATGAAGGCCATCATTAATAATTTATGGGACAGTGGGGGTTAGGCATCCCCACATACTAATTTTCCCAGGGGAACATGGCCTTTTTCCCTGCAGAGATTGTTTGGGTGTTCTGAGTTTCTGTGTATTTTAGTCCCAAATTCAGGTGCATGGAAACCATTGACAAAATAGGCCCTTTAAATCAGACTCCCAGTTGGGACTTCCTTTCTTATTTTTCTTCCTTTTTTTAACTTACATTTTTGAGATAATTGTAGATTCACATGCAGCTGTATAAGATAATACAGAGACATTCTGTGCCCCCTCTACCTAATGTCCCCAATGGTAATATTTAATATTTTGCAAAACTATAGTACAATATTACAATTAAGACTTTCTTAAAAGACTCACATGAGGACCCTTGAGACTTCCCTGATCCCGGAAGGGAAAAATTCCGGGGAATGATGAGCTGCCTGCCTTTGGAAGGAAAGTCCACCAGGTAAGAAACTAGAAGCCACAGGGATACCTCGGCTCCCTGGCTGGAAGTGGCAGATGCTGGTGCAGATTCCAGGGCCTTGCCTCCGAACTCCAACCTGCATGAGGGCACCTGGGTTCCAGGGATGCAGCACAGCTCCCTGCTTGGCCCCTGTGGCTTTGGGTGGCTGTCTCTCAGCCCTTCAGCTGGCTCTGCTGAGTTCTGTGGTTGAGATGCCAGGCTTTGGAATCACACAGCTCCAGGCTAGAGTCCTAGCCCCTCACTTTACAGATGGCCTTGGCCAGTTACCTCTTACAGCCTCAGTTTTTCATAGTAACTTAGATTGCACTTACCATATGTCACTATCCTAGGAAATTTACATAAGAATTCGTTTCATGCCAAAACTCTATGGAAAGATACTATTATTAGTTCCATTTTGCAAATGAGGAAACAGGCACAGAGAGGTTATTTGCCCAAAGTCACCCACCTTGTGAATGGCATGGTTGGAATTTGAACACAAATAGTGCACATCCCAGGTCCACATACTTAGCCACTGTACTCTGTTGCTTCTCATCATCTATGAGGCAGGTTCAGGAGTACCTCATTTTTTTTTACAAGGCAAACTAATTAGCACAGTGCCCAGCACAGAATAAATAAGCACCCATACATACCAGATAACATTTTTAGTATAACTTTTGGAAGTTTATGAGTATTCATGACGTATTCTTGTTACTAATAATAGCTCTTTTTTCCTGATCCTCTCCCTTCTCCTACCTTCCACCCTCCAAGAGGCCCCAGGGTGTGTTGTTCTCCTCTTTGTGTCCATGTGTTCTCATCATTTAGCTCCCACTTATAAGTGAGAATATACAGTATTTGGTTTTGTGTTCCTGCGTTAGTTTGCTAAGGATAATATTGGGCCTCCAGTTCCATCCATGCCCCTGCAAAGGACATGATCTCCTTCCTTTTTATGGCTGCATAATATTCCATGATGTATATGTACCACATTTGCTTTAATAATGGGTACTAGACTTAATACCTGAGTGATGAGATAATCTGTACAACAAACTCCCATGACACAAGTCTACCTATGTAACAAACCTGAACGTGTACCCTGCAACTTAAAACGAAAGTTAAGAAAACAAAAACAAACAAACAAACAAAAACTATAGTTGCCATTTTAGACACCTATGATGTGTCAAACATTCCTTTAGCCCCCCCAACTATCCAGAAGGAGTTCTTCTTTTATAGATGAAAAAACTAAGAATCAAACAGATGAAATCGGGCAGCGGTAGAGACCCAAGATTCAAACCCAAGAAGGATCAGTAGGATTCAAACCCAAGAGCTGCATCTTAGACTCATAGCACTGGAAGAAACTTCAGACACTGGCCTAACTTCACACTCAGCTCAGGACTGGCCCTGCTGAATGGTCACTCATCTGCTCTGAAAAACCCGGCGACAGGATGCTCGCTTTCTACACCAGTAGTTCTCCGGCTCGAGGTGTGCCACGGAATCCCCTACACCATTGTTAAAACATAAAGCATTGCTACCCCGACCCTGTGCAGGGCTTCTAGCGCGGTGGGGCTGGGACAAGGGCCTGAGAGTGTGCAGTTCTCACAAGCTGCCCCAGGATCCTGATGCTGCTGGTCCAGGGACCACGTTTGGACAGTCATAGTTCTAGGAAAACTTCCTGGAGTGGGAATGGTAAAGGCGATGGCTTCTTCCCATTTAGACCTTTTCAAATCTGAGATAGGCTTCCCCAGCAGGCTCAGTGCCGGAGTCCATACCCTCAGTTTAAGTAACAAATCCTCCTCCACATCACGACCTTTCCTCCAGAGGGGTTTTTAAGATTGTGTGTTCTGAACGGCCTGTCTCTGACCGGAACCCAACTCCATCCCCAGACCCACTTCCATCTTTTTCTGTGAGGGGGACACACTCTCTCAACTTTTCCTAAATGGCATCTACCATGGCTTTTCTGATTAAAAACATACAAAACACAACCTTCCTATAATAAAACAATTTAGAAAAGCACCAAAAATCAAAAGGGGGTAAGGAAGAAAACAGAAATTAACCGCCATCCCGCCGCTAATATTTTGATGAGTTCTCGTGCATTTCCCTGCAGCTGATTGTTGTTTTGCATACATTTATTAATATTGGAATTAAAAATATATATGGCACTTTGTATCCTAGAAAATAGTAATACTGTAAATGTGTTCTAGAAATGGGAGCTGCTGTTGTTCTTATTAGAGAATTCAAATAAAGAACTGAGGCTCGCTGGCGACAGCTTCCAGGGGAAGATGGGTACCCCTTTGAGACAACAGGGAGAACACAGGCACAGAGGTGACGATCATTGTTCTCTGTGGGGCACATAGTGACGCAACCGGAAACAGGTATGAGTTTGTTGAGTAGGGACAGGTAATAGAGAGCTATAACTGGCTGGCCTTATGGCCTCCACGGCACTGGGGAGCCATTGTACATTCTTAAGCAGGAAATGACTTCACAAAGGGATTTCTCAAAGGTTAATCCTGCAATAGAAGACAGGGTGGATTGGAGTGGAAGAGTGGGAGGGCAGGTGCAGAAGGCATAGGTCTGCAAGTGGGGAGCAGCCCTGGGGGCTCAGCCAGTCCCCTGTGCCCTGACAAGTGGTATGGCATGGATGGCTCTACTTCTGGGCCGCCAGGATGGACAGGTACTGGTTGCTCTTCACCATGGCGATAATGAGGAGGCCACCGGTCAGCAGGAAGGTGGGCCAGAAGAGGGAGAAGAGGAGGGTCTGGGGCCCGTAGAGGCGCCGGAACAGCACGCTGGTTTCGTTCCCTGGAGGTGCGGAGAAGCAGTAGAAGACCTGCTGCTCTTGGAAGTTGGCTCTGACCTTTTCCACGTCGGCCCGGGCCGTCTGGTAGTTGTCCAGGCTGCCTGGGATGTAGGAGCACTGTGGGGAGAAGCAAGAACAGCCGTGGGCTTGGAAATCCCCATTTCTTAGCCAAGGGCTTGATATGAAGCAAAGAAAAATACCAGCTTTGTAGTCAGGCCCCTGGATTGGAGTCAGGACTTTGGTCTAAAGCTTGGCAGGCCATGCGCTGTGCAGGTCTGGAGAGCACGCTCTCATTTGTGTCGTGTGTGTGGATGGCAATGCTGGAGCTGCTCGGGGTACAGGCTACACACCTGGGCGCATGTCCTGCCTTGGAGTCCTGGCTCTGCCTGGATTGGCTGTAGAATTTTTGGCAAATTGCTCACTCTTTCTGAGCCCTGATGGCTTTATCACTTAAATGGGTGAATATCAGTTTCAAAGGATATTATGAAAGAAGGACTTCAAACAGAGTCACCTAAGGAAACCAGGGAGGGACACAGGCCAAGTGGCCTATGTATCTGAAATAGAGATCATGTGCTCAGTTGCCTACAGGGCTCATGAAGGTATTGTCAGCAGGTGAAGCAGGCAAAGCAATGGGATGAGAGGTGCCCACTGACACTTGCCTTGGTGCCAGGAAGAATTGCCAGGGAGTGACAGGGCCTGACAATAGGGAGACAGCCAGCTGCCTCCAGACAGGCAGTCACCACTCCCTCCAGACAATGGATGTCAGGCCATCTAGAACATCTATAAGAGCCAGACCTCCAACACTTGAAGAGAAGTCAGAAACCAGATCACACCTGTAATCCCAACACTCTGGGAAGCCGAGAGGGAAGGATCCCTTGAGCCCAGGAGTTCAAGATTCCAGCCTAGGCAACATGGCGAGACTTTATCTCTACACAAAGAGTTAAAAATTATCCAGGTGGGCATGGTGGTGTACCTGTAGTCCCAGCTACACAGGAGACTGAGGCGGGAGGATCACTTGAGCCCAGAAGTTGGAGGCTGCAGTGAGCTATGATCTCGCAACTGCACTCCAGGTAAGGCAACAAAGTGAGACCCCATTTCAAAAAAAAAAAAAAAAGTAAAATATTAGCTAAACTTAAAATTGAAAACCTTTGCAGTTTCAACCTGTGTACAGCGAACAAAATATGTTGGCAAGCTGGTATTTGACACTGGGATCCAAAGGAAAGAAAGGATGCGTCGAAAAGAGTTTTGTGCCAGCAGAGCATGACACACATTTAATTCTGACACTGATTATTGCTATTAGGAACCTTTTGCCCTGTTCCTATGAGGCCAGCTGGAAAGTACTGCAAAGCGGTCATAAAGCGGAGACCCTGGTTTTATCTCTGTTCTGTGCTGCAAGTGTGGTGCCCCCATCTGCAGCGGGATACCTACAGGGCCCCCACAGCCCAGGTCCCTACCCCCTCTGCATCACTGAGGGCGGGGCCCAGGAATGTGTGCTTCCTTCATGCACTTAATTTTGCCCTAGTGAAATCATGTGCAGGATCAAAATGTGTACAACTGAGACCCAAATGGCAGGTGTTGAGCCAGCTTCCTTACAGGCCTCGGCCACTCCCTGGATTTATATGAGGCCCCACCCTGGAAGCTGCCTGCCCTGAGGGCTTTCACTCCAGCAGCACAGAGGAGGGTTGCACTGTGGTCCTCACAGCCTGGGAAATGGGGAGCACTGCACTCAGATATACGGTCCCAGCCAACCAGGGAGCAGCTGAGGCTGGGGAGAAGCTGGCTCCTGAGTAATCTGGCATTCAGAGCTTTTGGGTACTGCCAGGTCCTCAGTAGCACACAATCCAGCGTCCTGAGCTGAGGGTAAGGGGGCCTGGCCTGAGTCTCTCCAATGCCTCTGACTGTGACCTTGGCTAACCTAGCTCCTTAAACAACACTGTGGCTATGGAGTCAGAGAGGCCTGAGTTCTGAGCTGCATGACCTTGGCAACTGCCACGACCTCTCTGGGCCTTGTAATATGGGTTAGTGAGGCTACCTGCCCAGAAGAACTGTCATGGGGATCAGATGAGATAATGCATGTAAAGCACTGAGCACAGAGCCCAGCACATGATAAGAACTCAAAAAAGTGGAAGATGCTATTATTATTTATGATAATATGTTTTGACTTATCTATGAAATTGCAACAACAGCTCCTTCTTTACCTTCTTAAAGAGAGGTCTATGGATGAGCTCTGAAGAGGAGGCTTCTGCCCATCCTGGGCCTACTATTTCCTCTGCCTGCTCAGGGTTCCTCTGGATCTTTTATGCTGGGCCTATTTGGCAAGACACTGGGCAGGAATTCACTCTTCAGGGCCAACCCCAGAAGCCGGGGGCCTGAATGCATCTTTTCTCTCCTGTCCTGGGTCCCGCTAAGCCTCGTTATCTGAATGATTTGAAACCACCCAGCTTTTTCCCAAGCCCTGCGGTGTAAGGTCCCCAGGACAGACAATGGGAGGGGATTTAGAACTTACCTGCTCCAGGCTAAGACTCACAGGAAAAGCTGAGGGTAGACTGTGGCCCCCACCTTCAGAGTTGGAGGGTGGGATGAGAGCCTTCGTGGCCCTTCACAGTGATTCCAGAGGACACTCAGCTCGCCTGGAGCCCCAGCTACTTGAACCCCTATGACGGATGTAGGCGGAAGGAGCAGCTAGCCCACAACCCAGCTGCTTGGCAAAAACACAAAGGGCATTTCCACTGTTTCCTCCCAGCCCCTGCAGCCTGCTATCAGCACCACACCTGGTCAAGCCTGGATGGCAGAGGAGAGGACAGCAGTGGCTCCAGCACATCCTTCCTTCACATCCTGCTGACAGCTCATTCAGGGGATGCTCCTCTGAGCTGGCAATCTCCGGACCAGGGAGGCAGCCTGAAAACCAGCCTGCTCCAGCCCATATCACACCCGGAGAATGTCACCAGTTATTAAAAATTTGTGTCTTGCTTTGGGATAAATCAAGGGCTACTGAATGCCAAAGCAGAGGTCATGAGCAGGAGCTACCTCCAGTGGGCCTGGAGACCTCTCTCCACCTGGTGGGGCCGAGTCACACTAGCGATGATAAAACACCTGACCATCCTGCACTGCCCAGACCCACTTCTCCTTGACCTTCAGCACTCTCAAGATCCCACAGCCTCCACGCCCCATGCCAGGCACCCTGCCCTTTCCCATCCCGTCAGCCATCAAGTCCTGACAGTCAGCATCTCCCTTGCTGCAGGCCCACATCTTGGTCCTGAGTGTCTGCTGTGGCCTTGGCTCTTTTGTCTCGTAACTAGACCCACACACTTGTAGGCTCCATCTTCCTGGCCCAACTCTGATCATGCCCTAAAGATTCCCATTGCCCACAGCAATAATTTCCAACCTTAGAATCACCTTGGGAGCTCCATGAATGGATCTCTGACCAGAGATTCCGCCTGGATAGGTCTAGTTTTGGACCCTAGTTTTGTTTTTTTAAGACTCCTACGTGGTTCTAATGCATAGCCAAAGTCGACATATCTTGAGACATACACACATTTTAATTCCATACTGTGATGATCAAAAGCCTCTGGGAATAGGCGTTAGTCCGCCCTGGCAGCCTTTTCCAGCTGCATACACCCCATCATGGGTCACTTTCTGTCGTCAGCCCTCTCACTCCTGTCTCCACCTAGCCCTTCCCTCCTCCTGCCTCCTCCTATAGACATACCCACTTTCCATATCACCTCCTTCTCTACGCCTTGCATCCTGTGCCTGTCTGATGTTAAAAGCCTCACCCAAGAGCTTTTATTTCTTTCTTTTTTTTTTTTTTTTGAGATAGAGTTTCTCTCTTGTTGCCCAGGCTGGAGTGCAATGGTGCGATCTTGCCAAGAACCTTTCTGATATCCCCATCATTGTCAGCTGGAAAACATCCACCTTCTCTAACCCCTGTAACTTCCTCTATTCTTCTCCCCGGTGCCAATCCCTCCTGCTAGGCCTGTTCATGCATGAGCTCTCTCCTCTTGAGTCCTACAGGCTTGACACAGGAGGTGCTCAATGGCTGTTTAATAAATAAATGAGAGGAGGAAGGAAGGAAAGAAGGAAGGGAGGGAGGAATGGAGGGAGGGAAAAATAGAAAAGAAAGAAGGAAGAAAAGGAAAAAAGAAGGAAAGAAAGAAGGAAGGGAGACAGAATACGGGCCAACTGATCGCTTTAGGAAAGGATATGGTGGTAAGTTTTGTTTTTTGGAAGGGGAGGGTGGGATGTTGGGAGGCGAGGATGGAAAAACCATCTAAATGTTTGTTTATGGCAGTTACTCCAGCCCTGAGTCCCTGGTTTCCCGGGTAGTCACCGGGATTCCACTTGGAGGATCTGGCCCTGTGCCTGGTCCCTCATTTGACTGAGGTTGTAGAATGAAAGTAATAACACTCATCGCTGCTTTTGCTTGAGTGCCCACTATTCACCCAGCATCAAGCATGGTACTTTATATACAGCGTCTCTGACTTGATAACAACTCTTCAAGGTGCAGCATTAGCATTCCATTTTACAAGGGTGGAAACTGAGGCAGGGAGCGGCTAAGTGGCTTGCCTAGGTTTGCACAGCCAGTTAGTGGCAGATTGAAACCCAGGTCTGTGTGACTCCAACACGGAAGAGCTAGGGCTGGCTCAACCTCATTCCAGCTGGGAGACCTGGTCAAGTGGGTTGATTTTTCTCAGCCTCAGGGACAGGGACAGTTAGGAACAGTCTCACATACCTGACAGGGATAAGGGGATGTGTCCCCATCCCCCCAGTTCAGTACCTGCTGGTTCTGGTCCCGGGTGTCCTCTGTGTGGTACAGCACAGCCCAACTGCCCGCAGCTGACACGTTGACCCACAGGCACGGGTACTGGGGCACCTTCTTGCCCTTCAGCTCCTCCTGGTCCCTGATGTTGGTCTCAATCAGGTGGCACTTGGATTCCTGGGTCCACACGCTGAGGAGACCACACACAGGCACACATTACATCTTGGAACTGAGTGACACACAGAACATCCATTTGAACCCCTGATCCCCTGGGAGCCTTTAGAGGGATCCAGGGCTGGGATCCTCATCTTGTCTTAAGCGTCCAGCAATAAAGGCACATGACCCCACAGTCCCTGGATACAGGGAGGAATTGTAGAAGCTAGATGGGGTCTTAGACATTATCTATATAACTGGTTCTCAACCCTGGCTACTCTTCTAAAAACCTGGGGAACTTTAAAAAAGATTCCTGTGTCCAAGCCACACCCCGGAGCAAATGAATCAGAACTTCCTGGGTGGTTGGGCCCAGGGCTGGTGGTTTTTCAAAGTCCCTGATGTGATTCTAACAAGCAGCCAAACCTGAGACTCTCTTATTCAAATCATCTTCGTTTTGCAGAGGCAGAAGAGAAACTCAGAAAGATCAAATGACTTTGCCGAGGCCATTCAGGACCTGAAGCTAGGTCTGAGTGGCTTTGAAAGCTGTGTTCTTTCTCCTAAAAGGAGTAGATGTAGGAGGGCCTTGATTTGAGCCAGGATGGGAAAGATGGTGGGGACGATCTTTAACTGGTGCCTCACCAGGGTAAGGGTCCAGCCTGGAATCACTCCAGTATTGCGAAGAGTGAGGCTGCAGCAGGCCAGGGAGAGGCTAACAGGCTCGTCAACATGTTAGTAAATCAATTGTGATTCATCTCCCAAGTATCCTGCGGGAGACCCACTGCCAGTCAGATGGGGGCTGTCGGCTGCTGGAACGTGCCCAGAGAGTAGGTCTGAGTCTTATTCTAAGGACAGGCTGAGAGAACTGAGTGTGTTTGTTCCAAATAGAACACAAATTAGAAATTCACAGTTCTTCCTTAAAGTCTCAAAAAAACCCAAAAAACTCAAGTGGTTGATACGTCAGGGAGCAAGGGCATGGACCCTTCTCTGAGATTCCTGAGCAGAGCTTCAGGGAAGCAGATGCTGGCTCAACGCAGACACATCAGAAAACCTCAAACATGAAATGGGATGTTCACTGAGGCAAGGAGCTCCCCCTCACTTGAGGTATTCATCAGGAGGCTGGATGGCCACCTGACAGGGAGGCTTCAGAGGGGACAGAATTATGCAGCTGAGCTGTAAACGTCTGCAATTCTCTGATTCCTCCTGGGATCAAACTTGCACTGGAATATTTCCTCTGATTCTTTGCTAATTCTTGTGAGAAGGGCATCATGTGTCTGTTACCACCAGGTCCTAGAATCTCAGAGCAGTGGGGCTCAGTTCATCCTACCTTCCCTGCACTTGAACCCTAGAACCTAAGAATGAGCATTGTCTTGACCCTGCTGCCTCGAGTGAGGGTCAAGGAGAGGGGTGAATAGAAGGCCAGGGTTCCTTACAGATGTCAGACCCTTAGGAGAGGGTTGGGGGGTGGGCAGGCCAGAAGAGCTCAGTACCTTTTCTGGTAGAGGGGCAGCAGAGTTGTGACCAGGACGTAGTAGGTGATGACGGCACACACCACCATGGCTACACCCAGGCAAAGGGCTCGTGTCTCTCCCCGTTTCTGGGCCATCACCAACTTCTTCACCATATTCACTGGGGGCAGTGATCATTTCTAGGTCCACAGAAGCAAACAGAAGTGAGATCAGCCCAGTTCACAGGTGATCCACAGAAAGAGAGGACAGGTGAGAGGGGAAGGTTCTCAAATACTAATATCACTCTTGTTTGTATTTGGAGCTTTGCAACTTCAAGAAGGCTTGCTTTTCACACCTCATGTAAGCCTAATCCATGCAATTGAGAGGCAGTTGCAGATAAGGACCTATGACTCAGAGAGGTAAAGTGACTTGCCCTAGGTCACACAGTATATAATAGGCTCAGTAATGACTCCCCAAGATGTCCATTTTCTAGTCCCTGGAAGCTATCAATGTTACTTTATGTGGCAATGACTTTGCAGAAGTGATTAAGATAAAGGCTCTTAAAATGGGGAAACAATATTGGATTATCTATGTAGATCCTAAATGTAATCCCAAGGGTCCTAATAAGAGAAAAGTGAAGGGAGATTAAACATAGAAGAGAAGGCTAAGGTGATATAACCAGGGAGATGGCAATTGGAGTGATGTGCCCACAAGCCAAGGCGTGCGGGCAGCCATAAGAAGCTGGCGGGGGCAAGGAACAATGGCTCATCCCCTACAGCCACTGCAGGGAGTGCAGGCTGCAGACACCTTGCTGGTTTTGGACTTCTGGTGAAATTTCTGTTGTTTGGGGCCATCAGGTTTATGATCATTTGCTACAATGGTCATAGGTCCCATACAGTGAGCAAGCTGTACATGTGCATCATCCACACACCTTCTTCCACGGCACTTATCCCACAGGGACACTTGGAGTATTCCTGCCCAGAAACGGTTCTGTGGTAGGGCTGGCTGGGCCGGGCAGCAGGCAGGGAAAGGAGAGGAGGGCCCCAGAAGGCAGCTGCAGGTTGTCAGGAGAGGCAGGAAATTTACCATTTTCTGGTTTTTTTTTTTTTTTTTTGTAAGGAACCTTCCCCCAATTCAAGCAAAGAAAGAAGAAAGAAAGAAGGCATGATGGTGGCCTCAGAGATGGCTTTCTTATTTCAGGGGTTGAAGCCACCTGGGACAAAGCGGAATGGGCACATTGCTGGTGGTGGCTTTCCTTCTCTCCTCCTTCTTTAGGCAGCAACTCCTTGTTTTTTCCCGGGGCATTGACCCCACCCCAATGCAAGCAAAGATTCCACCCTCCCCTGCTAGGCTCCTGATCCCTCCCCCAGGAGTGTGAATCTTGACAAAGACTTCAAGAAACAGCCCATTAATCTATGCTGCCTGGAGCCACAGAGATGCCCAGCCATGGTCCCCGTGTGATCTCCCGTGCGTTCCACAAGCTGTCCTAGAGCCTTCTGATAAATGTATTTGCTGTTGTTTTTATTTGGTTAAGGTAACCAGAGTCCATTTCTACCAAAAATACCAGGGCCATGGGACCTGTTCACTGTAATCCTCCGTTTTAGGGGAAATTTTAGCCAGATATCAGGGAAGACTTTATTCTCCTTGCCAGGTCCCTAAAGTAATAAACATACTATGTTTTATTTGTTTGTTTAATTAGTCAGTGCCCAGGGGGACAGGCATGAGTCCAAAGAGATTTTCAGCAAAGTGCTCTATTTTCTGCTCAGGCGTCTCTTAACTACTGGACTGTTTCAAATATTCAGTCAGAGATTCTTGACTTCCTCCCTTCAGCCAGGCTGCCCCCATACCTGGGCATCCCTGCTAAAGGGAAGAGTCCAGGGTCAGGCAGCACGGATACCCATCGCACCTTCCCAGTGAGCTGGTCCACCTCCCTTGTCAATTGACAGAGGTGACATCCAATGATAACTTTTTCTGCTTTATTTGAAACCAGGAGGTGGGGTTCCCCTACATTCTAATGGAGACATTATAAAAGCACAAGCAAGCAGAAATTTCCCCCAACAAAGAGAGATGTTTTGTTCAACTCCTTTTTATCCTTTTCCTTCTGTTCTGTGGTCTTGTGGGAATGGGAGCACCCACGCCGTTTTCTACCTGGCGTCAGTTGAGAAAGCCTCTCCACGTATTCACAGGTAAAGCAACAGAATCACCTGGAGGTAGGCTAAAAGCCCCAACAGACTGCTTCCCCAAGACCTTTAAGGGTCACTGGCACTTGGCCCCACCCCAATTTATACTGTGAGATATAAATCATTTGAAGCCAATGGGAAATCCCATTTTGGAAACTTAGGGCTGAGCGCCCACAACGAAGCCATTTCTCTCCTGGGGCAGTTGGAGCGTACCTGTGGGGGTTTCCTGTTGCGTGAGGGCTCCTTCCTGGCTAATTAGCCCCCTACCTTCCAGGGCCACTGCCTCCTCTGCTGTGTGGCTTCTAGTGCCCTCCCAGGCCCCTGGGCACTCCTGAGGCTGGTGAAGGCAGGAACCTGGTTTTACCAGTTTTAGGAGCTCAGAAGGAAAGGAAAAGAGAGGCTTCCCTGTCACACAGAAGTCTGGAAACTTGGCTCATTCAGGTCTGACCTGTGTCTAATGCTCTGATGAGACTGTTGCCTGCACTGAGTGAGTGAGTTTATAGAGTCTTGATAAATCCTCCTAAGACCATGCATGGGGTTCCATGTAGATGTGACTTCAGCAGGAAGTTAATATTCAGCATCGGAAGGGAGAACCTTCGGCAGCAGGAAGGATGGGAACTGTCAATATCCCCCGAGGGACAGAAAGAACAGGAAGAAGTGGGTTTCTGCTATCATAGGAGGGATTTCAGTTAGACTTTAAGAAGAACTTCCCAGTTTTGAGCATTTCTAAATATCTCTGAACTTCCGGGGTATATCTTCCCATTTAGAAAGGTCACTTGAGGTCTGGGATAGATTCAGAGAAGATGGAGGACAAAGGAAAGCAGGACTTTGGAGTATCCTGAGTGACCTGATAGCTGGGTCGACATCCTTTTCCTTAGAAGGACAAGTAATAGTGTACATTGTTTAACACGTTGGTGGGGTGTAGACAGGGCGATTCTGAGGTCATCAGACACGGAATCAAATCCCGGCTTTGCCACTTAGCAACCATGTGACTGTGAAATGAGAATCATGGTACCTGCCTCAGAGAGTTCAGCTAGAGATCAAATGCCATATTGAGTATCAGGCATGTATCATAGTGTCTAGCCCCAAATCAGCCCTCAGTAGATATTAGCTATTATTACTGATGAAGGAAACCCTGAAAGTTTGGAGCAGAAGTCTGGACCCCTCTTGATGAATCTATTTTTTGTCCCACCTCTCTACCAGTGACAAGTGCCAGGACTGGTGTTAATCTCCAGGCTGCAACCTTCTGGCCACTCTGAGAACTGGGACCTAGAGGGCCAGGGCACCTACTACGAGAGTAACCTGGCCACTGTGCCACCCTCCCCGCTGGCCACCAGACCACCGGCCCCCCATCCGGAAGGACAGCCCTGAGAGGAAGGGAGTCCTCCTGCCTGCCTGCCTCCCTGCCCTGTGGCAGACTGCGTTCCCCACAGTCTCCCTCCAGCCCGGTCTTCGGAGAAACAACTTCCCAAGTGCTTTCAGATCCAGTACTCACAGTCTCCCCGGCGCCCTGTGGGTCTTCAGCAGCAGATGGTTTCTTTCTGCCTGGCCCCCAGCCCCCACCCCAAAAGAGGCCACAGAGCTCCAGCAGGAAGTTTGGCCTCCCCGCCCGTCTCCAGGGAAGCAGACTTGGGTCCCCATCTGGGGCAAGCCTCCATGCCCAAACATGGTCAAGTCTGAGCACACAGCCTGGAGACACAGACTCGGAGAGCAGGTATCCAGCCCTGAGGAGGGCAGCTGTTACCCAGGCCCTGCACCTCCATCTTTCCAGAGTCTCGTGGGAAACAGATTGCAAAAGACAACAGACAGCAAGACTGAGAAACTACGAAAGATCAGCCTGGTATATTTGGAAATATTTCTTCTTTCTGGCTCTGTGGGCTGCCAAAGATGCCAGAAATAGGAAATGATTCTCCTTTTGTTGGCATGAGGAAGGGTGGAGTTGGGCTGGAGGGGTTGGGCTTGTCACCAGTCCCTGGCATACCCATGCTGGAGCAGCTACAGCTCCCTGCCTTTGGCACTTACGTGCTGTGTAACCCTGAGCAAGTTATGGCACCTCTCTGGGCCTCAGTAATTCCTTTTATGTTTTTTGTTTTTCTCGCAAACTTATCATTAAAGGACCTCAGTTTTCTCCCTTGTGTTACTGGCATTTTTAAAACTGGCTATGCTTTAGGGTAGCGATGAGGGTTAGAGATGGTGGGGATTTATGGCAAGGGGAGAGAACTCACCTTTTAAGGACCAACCAAGATGAAGCTTGGAGTAGTGAGAGCTCCACGGCTGCTTCCAACTAGGTCCGGACAGTCTGCTCACCATGGGCCCTCCCAGAGACTGTGAAAGTACAGAGATTTGTACCTGGCAATCAGACAAGTGAACGTCAGCATTTACAGGCAAGAAACATGCTTTTAGATCTCTGCTTCTTCATCTGTAAAGTGAATGTAAGGATTAAAAATCAGCATCAAAGGGCAGGTGTGGTGGCTCGTGCCCGTAATCCCAGCACTTTGGGATGCCAAAGGTGGACGGATTGCTCAAGCCCAGGAGTTTGACACCAGCCTAGGCAACATAGCAAAACCGCATTGCTACTGAAAATACAAAAATTAGCAGGGCGTGATGGTGCATGCCTGTAGTCCCAGCTATTAGGGAGGCTGAGGCACGAGAATTGCTTGAACCCAGGAGGCAGAGGTTGCAGTGAGTCAAGATTGTGCCACTGCACTCTAGCCTGAGCAACAGAGCGAGACCCCATCTCTCTCTCTATATATACATTTATGTATATATATATATATGGTTTTTTTCCAACAAACAAAAAAAAACCAATCCCAGATATTGGGGCTTTCCTGTGTATTAGGCATGGTGCTAGAAGGCAGCATATCTCCAGCCTTCACCGGACCCAAGGATCAAAGAACCTGAAACTGAGGCTTGGAGACTTGAAGTCAGTGGTCCAGCCCTAGGGGCCAAAACTAGATTCAAAGCTGGCCCTTCCAGATTGCACAGCTCGGTCTGTCTCTGCTGACCCTGGGGCTGCCCTGAGACATTAAAAATCACCTCTATCATACAGTAAGCTGCCACCTGAGGATCTGAAGGTCACACTGAGTTTCCCCAGCCCCCAGGGAGGTGGGTGCAGCCTGGCCTACCCTGCTGAGCGAGCTCATCACCTCCTTCCCTCCTGCCCTCAGCAGGCGCGAAATGAGGGCGGCCATTCAGGCCTCCCTGACACATTCTAAGGCCGTGAGTGCCCTTCTCCACCCCTTTCCTAACTGAATCATATTAACAGGAGACTACATTGTCTGTTTAACGGGCACCATAGCACCAGAGGGTCTAAGGCCAGCTTCAGACCTTGCGGGCAGATTGACAGAGGGATGCAGGATCTGGAATTCAACCTCAGAAAAGTAATTTTCCAAGGATGATCCTCTGTCCATCCAGGGGCAGGAAAAGTCCTCCTGAGGCTATTCCAGAAATGCCAGCCCTCTCCTCCTGCTTCCCCGGAGGAGAGATACACAGTGCAACAGGCTGCCGTTTATGAGTATAACCAAAGGGCTCCTTGCTCGTAATACTCTAAATAAGTTATTAAGGGCTACATATTATTTGGAATTTATTGACAAACTTTAGCATTCTTCCCAAGGGAAGGCAGGAACAAACAGGGAAGGGGGGCTGTGGGGTCTTCTGCTGCCCCTAAGTGAGCCACAATCAAAAGGCATTGACAAGCTTTGTCCTCAAGGGTGTCACCTTTGTGGTTGAAAACCCAGGTCCTTTGCTGGCTGCGGGGTTGTGTGTGACAGATGGCTGCAGGTGGAGGGCAAGAAAATAACAATGCTGCAACAATAAATATTGACGGTCTGCGTTAGTACGGGGTGTCAGAGATCACAAAGTACCTTCTCTGACTCTTCCAACAGCTTCTTAAGGTACTAGCACAATAGGCTCACAATAGACCACTGAGGTAGAGATTTTTCTACCCATTTGACGGAGGGAGTAACTGAGGCTCAGAGAGGTGAAATAAATTGCCAAGGCAAGTTACTTTGCCTCTCTAAGTTTCAGTTTGTCTCTCTCCAAAATAGAGATAATTATACCTAGACTCTCAGTGTTTTTGAGGAATGAGAGATCACTAAGCTACCTGACACATAGTATGGAGATTGTACTTTCCAAAGATGGTCACACTGAAGAACTTACCATTCCATCGGCCCTTTTTACAGTGTGGCATGAACACTCCACCATCAAGAGGGGCATGTATGTCTCTTCCCCTTCACCCTAGGTGGAGTTTTGTAAGGGCCTCAATAGTAGAATATGGTAGAAGGGCACAGCACAATTTTCAACACTAAGTCATAGACGGGGGCTCGAGTTTTCCTGACACGCTCTCGAGACATGTACCTGGGAACCAGCCACCATGTTGTAGGAAGCCAAGGCCCAGTGCTCCAGCTGACAGCCCCAGCTCAGATCTCAGTCAACAACTAGCATCTCTCACCCCGCATGGGAGAGGACAAGCCTGTAGACAGTTCCACCCCCAGCCTGCCAGCCTCCCAGCTGAGGCCTCAGAGAATGTGGAGCAGAGACAGCCCACCTGCTCTGTGCTCTCTCCAGAGCCACAAAATCCATGAGAAGAAAAAAAAAAACCTAATGTTTCATGCCCCTGCGTTTTGGGGTAATTTGTTATGCAGTCATAGTAACTGGAACAGAATTGCAAGTGATTTCAAAGGGGGACTGTTAGTGTTGCTGGTGATAGTGGGAATTTAAACTGGTGGGAATTAAAACACCTGAGATTGCTATATGGCGTGTTACAGGAGAGTTTAGAAATGCTTTATCTAGGTTGGGCATGGTAGCTCATGCCTGTAACCCCAGCACTTTTCGAGGCCAAGGCAGGCGGTTCATTTGAGGCCAGTAGTTTAAGACCAGCCTGGCCAACATGGCAAAAAAATCTACAAAATCTATAAAAATTAGCTGGGCATAGTGGCAGGTGCCTGTAATCCCAGCTATTCTGGCAAGCCAAGGCATGAAAATCATTTGAATCCAGGAGGCGGAGGTTGCAGAGAGCTGAGATTGAACCACTGCACTCCAGCCTGGGTGACAGAGTGAGACTCCGTCTAAAATAAAATAAAATAAAATAAAAAAGTGCTTTATTTACTCTTAGGTCACACACTATGGCACAAATGGAATAAAAGGGCAGTGATATGGGAGGGTATTTTTGTTTATGAAGCACCTACCATGTACCAGGGAATGACCACATCGATATGCAATATGTACACATACACATACACATACACATACACATACACATGGACATTCCTCTCCACAATCCCCCACAAAAGGCCTTGTTCTTTCTGTAAAAGCACAAGGCAAAGTGATTTTCCCAAGGTCACGCCCCTAGCGTGTCATGTGGTGGAGCCTGGAGTGTACCTGTGCCCGCCGACTCTACAGCCTGTCCCTGCCCCTCTGTCACCCCATGACTCCCTTGGGAGCAGTTTGCAAGAGACCCCAGGTTTCTTCAGGATGTCTGCTTCCGCTGCTTTCCAGACGTCCTCAGCTCAGTCTGTACCCCCTCTGGATTACACACCTGCTTGTTTATTGAAGTCCTTCTAAATCAATATCTCCTCTCTGCCAACACTTGGAATAATAAGTTCCATCAATCAAATTGGCAACTGGGTCTTGAACCCCAGTGTGTGCCTCTCTGAGTGCTGCAGGAATGGGTTTTAGTCACTCTCAGTCCTAGTGAAGCTGTGCGTTCACAGACGTCTCAGCGCTTGCTATGCAGAGGCTCTGGATACATCACCGTGCCGAGGCGACTCAGACACTGCCCCTTCCCTGCAGAAAAGCAATGCCAGATTTCCTAAACTGCAAAAATGCAGAACAGAAAGCAAAAGATGTATTTTAAATGAGAGAGAGTAATAGAAGGGAGAGGAAATAACAATGGGAGATTTTTTAGAAGATTTGAGATGACCAAGTGTAACAACAGCAAAAGTAAACGCCAATATTAGAATTAAATGGCCACAAGACAAGACACGACAAAAAACCTGGTAAGGTTGTTCCCTGCTGTGTGGGGGGATACTCACTGCTTTCTCCTCTGACTTTTTTCACCATATTTTCCCTTGGCCTAATTTTTCTTACTTTTCTCTTACTTTATCCTGCCATGATGTTAACATAATTGTAAGCACCTTGAAAATCCTCTTTGAGACAAAGAGGAGCATAAATAAATAAACAGCCCTGCTGTCTGTCTGTGTGGTAAGGTTGGTTTTTAAAAAAAATGCCTTGTCCCAGGCCGGATTTGAGCCTTAGTGAGTGAGAGAGAGCAAGAGAGAGAAAGCTGTTGTTGCGGCTTGTGGGACTCAGAACATGAACAATGCCACTTTGGGACCGAGGAAGAGGGTATTTCCACTTCTGCTTAGCTGTGGCCTTGGGCAGTGGCCCTGATAGATAACAGCCATCATTATTATTTAAAATAGCTGCAGCAAAGGTAGACTCCTGTATGAATCAGGATCCCCAGGCATGCTGGAGCTGACTCACACTGGCGCTGTGAGAGCCTTTGCAAACCAGGTGTTCAACTATCAGGAGCTGAAAATCCACCACAGTGATGGAAGTAGTTATACTGTGGAAATCTACGAACAATACCAATCAGGGCTTTTGTCTTTTTGGAGAGCTGCTTTGCCAGCACACCACTTTAGAGGATACACTTAAATTGGGAAACCTGGGGAGGTATTAGGAATGAAGGTGTGGACAGGTTATAGGAAACCAGTAGTAACCTAGGGGCTCACAATGTTGGTTGAGGGCTGAGGGAAGGGAGCTATGTCCAGGATCAGCAGGAGAATCTTCTTGAGAGGGGATGTCCCCAGCCTGGGGAGACTCTCAGGGAAGAAGCTGGGGAACAGACTGCTGTCCTCACTCTCCTGGGATGTGTTGATGAAAAAACCAAACTCTGTAAATTGTTTGAAGAGAGTTGTTCTGAGCCAAATGTGAGGACCATGACCTGTGACAAAACTTCAGAAGGTTCTGAGAACATGTGTCCATGGTGGTTAAATTACAGCTTGATTTTATAAATGTTAAGGAGGTAGAAGTTACAGGCAGACATCAATGAATACACATAAGATTTACATTGGTTCGGCCCAGAAAGGCAGGACATCTCAAATGGTGATGGATTCAAAGATTTCCTGGTGGATTCAAAGATTTCCTGGTGGATTCAAAGATTCAAAGGTGTATTCAAAGATTTCATGAATAGCAATTGGTTGAAATAATTAAGTTTTGCCTAAAGAGTTGAAGTCGACAGAAAAAACCACGGAGTGGGGTTGTGGAAACCAAGGTTATTGTTACGTAGAGGAAACCTCCAGGTAGCAGGCTT